TAGTGTGTGTGTGTGTGTGTGTGTGTGTGTGTGTGTGTGTGTGCAGGTCGCCTCAGGTATACCCCTTTTTATTCTTTCCCATGCATCTCTTTCCATGTTTGTTTTGCTTTTTCAACGAACTAAATGGCCGTTTTTGAATCTATGAGCTTGTCTTAACTCCAAGTTGGAGTTGAAAGAACACAAGTCGCCTAGAGTAGTAGATCTATTGGGTGCATAAATCCTAATATTCTCGCCGCAAATGATAAATTATGACGTGGCCTACCTTTTTCCGGCTTGGTCTTGCCGAAGTCTTCCGAGAGTATCCGACTCATTCCGAACTTTAGTCCTCCTCGCTTCTCCTCTCCCACACTTCCGGCCCCCGTCTTGGCGGTGAAGGCCGATACATCAGCGTCACAAAGAGCTTGCAGCGGGGCCAATCCGTTACCTACTGGGGGCGGGGTTCCCGAATAGGTTCGATGGCTCATGCGATGAAGATGGCTCTGTAATTGTTGCTGTTGATGTCGCTGCTGTTGCTGTTGTTGTAAATGTGAGTGCAGCTGCGCTTGGGCGCTGGAGGACAACCTGCTCGCCAGTTCCCCACTAGAGGGCGGGCTGGGGCGAGATGTGACCAGTGTATGTGACGTCACACGGAACGAGGCGGTGATGTCATCGGCTGTCCGGAGTGAACCACCTCCGCCCCCGCCGCCGCTCCGACTTTTCTGGATGACGTCACTGAGGCTGACCGGAAACTGTGACTTTTTGAGGCCCAGGGTGAGGCTTGCAGGCGGAAGTTCAGACACGGGAAGACCGGCCAGGGCGGCGGCTTGAGCCCAGTAGGACAGGGAGGCGGGGCCGGGGAGATAAGGGGTGGGGACACAACCGTAGACGTTCATCATGGCCGCTTGAGAACACGACGAGACTCGCCCCCTAGTAGTTTGAGTAACAGATTTAGTATTTCCAGCGACTCAAGCTTGTACGTTTTTTATTTTGTATTCTAAAATGAGACTGTCTTTGTCCCCTTAGACTTACTTTCTCCTTTTTCCCGGGGGGGTGTACATGAGAAGACAAACGGATTTTATCCTTGTTTTCAAATTTTCAAAGTCAGCCTCAGAGTAGAGATTGGAAAGTTACTATCTAAAAATGCAGTTTTGTTCTTTAAACGGAAGACCTATAGTTGAATATAATAACATTACCCAACGAGTACTTGTGTCTAATGCTTCAGGTTTAACGCAGAGACAGTTAATCATTTACCACAGCCTACTCAGTGTGTTTTTTTTCTTGGTGGGGGTGGGGGGTGGCTTTTTTTTTTGTTTTCTTGTTTTGAGGGGGGGGGGAGGCTCTATCTCATTTAATGTCTGTCAGCATTAATTCCTTTCAGTTGTTATCGCAAGGTAATCAGGGACAGATTGTGCAATCAAAGCCAATTCCCCAACCACTAGAACAAATTATGTGCAGCTGGAATGAAAAAATGCTTTGTTGTTGTTGCTGTTGTTGCTGTTGCTACTGTTGCTGTTGCAGTTGTTGCTGTTGTTATTGCTGAGGGGGTGACGGTGATTGTGGTTATGCAAATGACTTGGTTGTTGCCATGATAGTTGTAATTCTTTAGTGCGTCACCGTGTTAGCCGTTGTGATTGTTATTGTTTCTGTTGTTGTTGTTGTTGTTGTTGTTGTTGTTGTGTTGTTGTTATTATTGTAGCAGTAGTAGTTGTTGTTGTTGTTGGTGGTGGTAGTGGTTGGTGGTGGTGGCTGTGGTGTTGGTATTAATAACGTTGCTTTAATTGTATGCTTCCCGGGAAGCTGAGAATGTTTCGGAGCGTTCTATGGTCTGCTGGGGTAATAATATACTGTAAAGCGCATAGAGCCTGCTGTTGAGC